GTCAAGATTATTTTTTGTGTAGTCTTCTGCCCCCTGTTATCAGGTGTATCTGATTGTGTACAATAGGATTTTGAGCAAAGTTTTTACCATTAAATTATGCAGAAAGTCTCAGATCCAAAAGACTTCAGAAACCGTGTCAAATATGACACATTTGGCATTAAAGAGTTAATATTAATAATTTATTACTATGCGATGAGTCCAGATTATTTTTTGTGTAGTCTTCTGCCCCCTGTTATCAGGTGTATCTGATTGTGTACATTAGGATTTTGAGCAAAGCTTTGACGATTAAATTATGCAAAAGGTGTCAGACGCAAAACATTTCAGAAACCGTATGAATCAGATATGATACATTTGGCATTACATGGTGAAAATTCGGCCTAATGAAAAGATGATATGGGAAGATGCAGGCTGGACGGACAAAGAAAGAGGTGGATGCTAGAATTACATTTGGCATTTTAGGGTTAATCACATTTGTGACAGTCACATTTCTCATCAAATACCCCAAAAATAAGGCCGAATTAGCCTCTTTGTGGACAACGCTGCTACCTGAAGTGTGAGATGGAGATGATGACCAGCAGGTTGAGCGTCACGGTGAGCAGAGAGATGGAGGACAGCATGATGTAAATCAGCAGGACCTCGAAGTGCGGCCGCCTGGGGCTCCTGCAGGAGGCGTTGAGCTGAGGGAAGCAGAGCTCGGTTTCCTCCATCGCCTCAGGAGGAAGCAGCTTCCAGCCTCCAGGATCCCGCTGACCGCCGCCGTTTTTTAAGCTCCTCTCCTCCTCCTTTCTCATCCTCTCACCGCTGTTTTCTGTCTCCGTGGAAACCGACGTCCTCTGACTGATCGGCTAATTAACGGCTGTGAATAACTGCTTAATTGTTGTTTTCCTGATAGAAACTGTTGAACAGGACTGTCTCAGAAAATTAGAATATTGTGATAAAGTTCTTTATTTTCTGTAATGCAATTAAAAATCATGAAATGTCATACATTCTGGATTCATTACAAATCAACTGAAATATCGCAAGCCTTTTATTGTTTTAATATCGCTGATTATGGCGTACAGCTGAAGAAAACTCAAAAATCCGATATTCTATTATTTTGAGATAGGATATTTGGGTTTCACAGTCCTGTATATCTAAACCACTCAGAGAGCCTTTTGGACTCATTTCCCACAGAAAAACAAAAAAATAATTAAAAAAAAACCTGCATGCGTCTAAAATGAAGCACATGCTTTGTGAAAACTACAGTGAGCTGCTTTGTTAGCCATAAAAAGCAACACGTGTCATATCTGATACACCGACTTCTGAAATCTTTTGCATCTGAGCGCTTTTGCATCATTTGATGGTAAAAACTGTGGTCAAAACCCTTCTGGACACAGTCAGATAAACCTGACAACAGCAGATAGAAGACTACAGACAATCCTTTTGACTTATCATACAGTTATAAATATTATTCCTGTTTATTTTTTCGGATTTAGCTGAAAGGCCGAATAAAAACAAAACAATATTTTTTCTCTTTTTTCCTTGCATCAGGCTTTAAAAGGTTAAGTGGATGAGCTGCTACAGAACACTTGTGGTCATCTGTGCATGCAACACAAACATAAACATTTTGAGGATAATTAAACAATCTCTCCTCCTCTCATTCATGAACCAAAAGGTATTTTGCTTCAGTAACTTCTCTGTTATTTGGTTTATGATTGTTGAGTTTACTGGGGTTAAATTTACCAAAATTAAGTAGATATGGAGGAAGTACCTGACTGTAAATGTGCCCACTGGAAACTATTCATTTTCAGAGCTGTAGGCCACAAGTCAAAGTGCTTTCACTGGTTCACCAGAATATAAACTGTTATAGAACATAGTCCATCAACTTTACTTAATATACATTCCTGTTCCTTTGCTTTTGATTTCAGAGTGAATAATCCAATGACATTGCTTCAAAGTGCATAAAAAGATGTTCAAGGCTTCCAGTTATGCATTTAACCCTTTAAAGCCTGATCCAAGCAAGCATAAAACAAAACAGAAAATGACTTTTTTTTGTTTTTAAGTCTTCATTTGGCCTTTTAACAAAATATGTAAAAAGAAAAAACAGAAATACATTTTTGATATTGATAGTCTATTACTATGCGATAGGTCAAGATTATTTTTTGTGTAGTCTTCTGCCCCCTGTTATCAGGTGTATCTGATTGTGTACAATAGGATTTTGAGCAAAGTTTTTACCATTAAATTACACAAAAGGTGTCAGACGCAAAACATTTCAGAAACCGTATGAATCAAATATGATACATTTGGCATTACAGGGTTAAAATTCGGCCTAATGAAAAGATGACGTGGGAAGATGCAGGCTGGACGGACAAAGAAAGAGGTGGATGCTTGAATTACATATCCCTGCTTTGAGAGTTGTTATCGGACATTTACCTGGAGTCATGACAACAATACTACAGTGGTGAAATACTCAGTATGTCAAAAGGCCAGTTAAAAGTTAATGTCACAGGAGTCGGGCTTCAGGATCTGAAGGGTCACAATGAGCTTGATTGATTTTCTGAACCAGGGGTAGAAAAACACATAGATTATGGGGTTCAAACAGGAGTTAAAGAAGAACAGACATATAACGAAGGCTGCAGATGAAGCATTGAGAGCGCTATCCTGGCCGGAGAGGGCGACACAGTAATATGGACACATGCACAGAAGAAACACGAGCACAACAATGCCCAGAGTCCTGGCTGCTTTCAGCTCAGACTTGTTAACAGTTACTGA